AATTCATTATGGAGATTCAGCCTAACCGAGCCTATTCCCTTAATGTGATAAACTGCATTGTTCCCCATCATCACTTTCCCACCATCTAAGGGTTGAAATGAGCTAAACCACTCCTTGTTTGGTGTCATATGATATGTGCAGGCAGTGTCTAGAATCCATTCATCACTAACTCTACCTTCAGAGATAACTAGGAACTCTGAACTTTCATAACCCTTTGATACTACCCCTGCACTACCACCATCACCTTCTTTTTCATATTTTTTCTTATTCTTTCTCTCAGGACAGTCTCTCTTAAGGTGACCCTCCTTATGATAGAAGAAACCATTTTTCCCTTATCCTATTTTCACTATCCTTAGCAGTGATAGCCTCTACAACCTCTCCTAACTTCAGTGTCTGTCTACCATATTTTAGTGTTTCCACAAAGTTTGAGTAGGTTTTAGGTAAGGAGTTTAATAGGTTCATAGTCTGATCCTTGTCAACAATCTCTACAGAGATGTTTTCTAGGTCTTGTATAATCTTTAGAAAGTCATCTTTATTATCCTTCAATGATTTTTGCTCATCCATTTTAAACCCAAACAAACTCTGCTTTAAAAACAATCTATTAGGAATAGTTTCGATTGGTAAAAGGAATATAACCTGCTCCATATCTCAGCAGCAACCTTTTCTTTCTTCACCTCTCGAAGAACTTTATCACCCAGGCTGAGGATCAGTGAGCTCTTGGCTTTGTTCAACATGTCCTATTTTTCGATAATAGTCAATGTTTCAGGTAACGCTTCTTCTCTTTTTAAAGCTAAGGCCAAGCCTTCTTTGATCAGCACTACTTCCATTTTCATTTTCCACAAGCCAAAATATGTTTCACTTGTAAACTTTTCCAGTTCAAATTTAGTTGACATATTTTTTCTCACGAAGTTGACAAACAGAAAAGTATACAGACACAATGAAAAACAGAATTGAGCAATAGACTTCTAAGCTAGACTGAAACAAGAGTAAATCAGTAAAACCCTAACAAAGCCCTAAACCAGGCTCTTATACCAATTTGTTAGGATCCTAGGGTTTACTAATTAACACTTTCAGCCCAAATAACACAATCAATAGACTAATTGATTAGCCAAAAGGAAAGAAATAAGCAAGCAAAGGAGAACATAAAACACGACAGATTATAGTGGTTCGGCTTTGTAGCCTACATCCACTCTCCAAGGCTCACATTAGGGTATTTTCATTACTCAATCACCAAGAATGTGCAATAGATGAACAGAGAACAAAGAAGAATACAAAGGAAGGAACACACCCAAATTGAAAACCCTAAGTTTTGCAATTGAGATATGCCTCCTTATTCTGCAGCAGGCACACTTAAATACACAATCATCCTTCTCTAAAACAGCCTCCACCTGTCTTTGATTTGTCCATAGCCATGAGATGGCCAACAATCCAAAAGATTCTTCAGCCATGCGTTCTATAAGGAAAAGAGAGAGATGAGAAGCTTTTGCAAGACTCAAGGATCAAAGGACACGATATACATCTTGGTCTAGGACTGAAACGACACTGAATGCTCCTTTGACTCTTTAACAAAGTGCTGACTTCCACCATGGCAAATCATAAGCCACATCAGCTCAAAAATCCTTTAACTTTCTTCCTTCCTTCCAACTGTCTTTTGGACATCCGTCAAGACTATGCCTGTTGCAGAATCTCCAATTCCAAATTCAATGACTAACAAATACTCTTTAGACCGTAGAAAATTCTCCATTAGCATGCTCCAATGGTCATAGTGACCATCAAAACGTGGGCTTGCTACCTGCACAAAATTGAAATTTGAAGCCATGGTTGTTGCTTACTTTTTGTTTATTTGAGGACTCTCACTGTTTGCTTTGCTCTCTGGCCTTCACATGACTTTGTTCTTTGACCTTCGCGTGACTTTGCTCTTTTCAACCTCTCTTTCTTTACTCTCCAAAAGTGACTTCAATACCACTAATAACTTTAATAGAAATGAAATTACTTTCAAGCTATTGCTTATTCAGAAAACTTACAGCCTATTTATAGGTTTATATCCAATAGAAAATAGCAAAACCAACTGCTAAAAACTAGCCTACTTGATTATGTTTTGCAAAATAATAATAATCTATTCCCTAAAGACTAGGACAAAATTGACTCAGTAAAATAAAAACGTGCAAGGAAGAAAATTATTCAACAATTTATGACATGACGGTTTCTGGATTTCTATAGGATGACACGTCATACTCTATTTCATGTGTATGATATTCAGTCTTTCTGAATGCAAACAAAAGACATGTCATGCTCTTCATCGTACGTACGGCGGATCGCTTTATATATTCCTTGCAAATACATGGCATACGCTCTATCTTGCGTATGACATGTTGTTTCCTCCATTTCTCGCAGATGACATGTCATCTACTGTAGCCCACGTATGACTTATCATTTCTCTAAATCATTGCAAATGACATGTCGTATGTTACGACAAACGTATGACATGCAGGTTTTTCGATTTCTCATGGACATGTCATAAGCAAGATATAACATATGACATGTCGTTGTCTTCCTTCGTTGTAGATGACATGTTGTACTCTCTATCAGGCAATATGACAGGTCATACGCTTTATTCGATGTATGACATGTCGTATGTTTTCTAAATATCAATCTAACCCCTAGTTTTTTTAATTTTAAAAATGTGCCAATCTTAATTGACTTAAGTGATATTTATCATAAAGAAAATTTTTTTATATTCGTTTCTGGAACGACGTCATTTATGTTAAAACAACATGTCGACCAAGGCATGAGTGACATGTGTACTTTTCATGGAAAATATCACTTCAACTCCCTGTTGATGTGTAAAAACCAATAAGCCCCAATATTAGAAAATCTGCGTGGACTAGAGTGATATTTGGCCAAAACTTCTTAATCTTGTTAATATTCTCTCTCTTTCTACAATACTCTTCAGTTCTGAAAATTCTTACCATTTTTTTCTTTAGAAAAATCATTTATTTTTAGAAATTACGCTATAAACATACAAAAAAAAAAAGAAAAAAAAAAGGAAAAAGGATGAGGAAGCAAGAGATAAACATATGTATGATTTGATTAAAAATATCAACCAAATAGCTGGTCATTTATAATTAACACAGATGATTAATTTAAAATGTTATTTAAAAAATTTAATTAATATAATCAAATTATTAAATTGGTTTTAATATCATCATTGCACAAAAGTGTTTGTACAAGAGTTTTTTTTATGGAAACGGAGATCAATAACAAGAATGTTTAAAGATTCGAGTTCAAGTCTCCACGGTTGTTAATAGGGGTGATCACTAGAGTTCGTATTCAATTGATAGTTTTAAGGTCTCAGATAATTAGTTAATGTGTGTGTAAGCTGACCTGAACACTTCTGGCATTAAAAAATAAATTATTAGAAATGTTATGTTTTAAATTTATAAAGTAAGATAAAAAAGTATATAACATGAAATTAAATTAAATTGAACTAAAATAATGATAGACGGGATGAACTTGAGCTTGCATGTGAAGACAATCAAATTCCAGAATACATCAAAAGTAGCACACAATATTTGATTGATTGATTGATGATTTTTATTTGATTTGATTTGGCTTGCTGAGAAGTGAGACCTACCAAACACGTGTATAAGTGTATTATTATCCACCCTTCAAAATTTCAAATTTCAACGCTTTGAAACTGAAACTTACATACTATATTCATTATCATATCGTAAAAATACATCATTGTCCTTTGAGAGTGTATGAATGGTCGGTATTGGCATGGGTTGAATTGTCTTTTTGTCTGTGCTCTGTTATGGGGTTGGTGAAGCAATGGCCGGTATCAATTTGGAACGCCCCCACTTCATTTAAATTAAATCAATTATTCCAATTCAAATTTCTTCATTTACTATATATTTAATTTAATTTATCCTAACGAAAATAATTAACTTACACATAAGAAATTTAAATTAAAAAGAGTTTTGCATGGAGGAAAAAATATCATATTTATATAATAAAATAGCTATATATACAAGGATACTAATTTTTTCTCACAAACATGATATAACATTTCATAATTGATCGAGGATTTGTGAGCATAGTATTATCTAAAAATTATAAATATACTTTTATTATTATTATTATATTAAGCAATTATTAATTTTAATATTGTAAAGATGTTTAGAAATTAGAAGGGAATGAACTTAATAAAGTGGGCCTTTCTTCTGATCCCAATTCTCGGTCCCATAACTTTTAACCTAAACCACTTTCGCTTGTCAACAGTTTTATCATTAGTTGACATAGTGCAACAACCTCAGCAACCGGTTGCTCTGCTCCCCTTCGCCAATCCCAACAACACCGACCTCATTTTCTGCCAAATCGAACGAACTTAACCACCCACATTCCCCCCCTCCTGCTACCATCAACACAAAACTTCTCCATTCATAAAAATACTTCTGTTTCATTATTTGTATTACGGGGTGTTCTCTCAGTTTACGCATAAATCAATTAATTATTTAAAATCCTAAAATAATCCATCAAATAAAAATTATAATAATTATCCCTATTAACAATTGAAAAAGACCAACCGGGTCATTTAGTAATGTACCAATTTCTTAAAAGAGATAAAAGGTAGAGAATTCTTTGTCACGTATCAGACTTTATCCTCAGTCTAGATAAGAGAGAGTATCTAACGTCCTATGTTAAGAGAAAGCTGCAAAAAGATCACATCAAATCATTATATCCCTAATCAAAAAGAGAGATTCCAATCACTAAATTTTTACAATAAGAAAATTTTCTCGGTAACCAAACAGTATACACATAATTACATCCACCCAAACCAGGAAAAACAAAAATTCTAACAAGAACATGAATCAAGAAGCAAAACCAAAAACAGAACCTTAATTGTTTCAAAACTCCTACATCTCACTTTTTAGTCATGAGATAATGAACCTAAATATATTTATATATCATAAATACATCCAATAATTAAATATCGCAATCTCACCGGAATATTCCATCTCCGTTCACCTGAAAACATTTTCTGTTTATTATCAAAAGCTATCGTGATCTACGCTTACCGGACTTTTTCAACTGATTCTTCTTGGATGCTTTACCAAAAGCGCCGCAGAACCCACATGCGGACACCCTCGGAGAAGGTGGTTCTATCGCCGGAGACACCCTGCCGGTTCGGTATCCCCGTCCTCCGCCATTGGATCGGCTTCTCTCCATCGTGTTAATTGATCTTCCCGGCTTAACATCTTTAATATTACTGTTATGGTCGTGTGATATTTCTTGGGCTTGTGTTTCTCCATCTTGATGACCGCCGCCGCCGTGTGGCTGTGGCTCTGAAGCTTGTTCATCTTTTTGATTCACTTTGTTTAACTCTTCCGATATAAATCTATCGTCCCATACGAGCCCTGAAGATCCTTGTCGCCGAAACGAAACTTGAGATCTCTGTAACCCCGCCATGTTCGAAACGGCTTCTTCTTCTCTTCTCTGATCTCTTCTAGATCAAACACAAATAAACTATATATGAAAATATAATAATTGTAATGAGTAGTTGATCTCTCTTCTCTGGTCTGGTTATGACTTTGTGTGATTTATATATAGAAAGAGGACAGAGGTTGAAGAAGAAAGATATAAAATAATAAGTCTTATTATAACAATTTCCTCCCCATAGTTTAATAAAATTGAAATGTAATCAAAGGTTTATAAAGTAACAAATATACCCAGAAATTGATTACTTTATCATATAAAGACTATTAACACTATTTCTCTAATTATATTATATTATTTTCAGTTTTTATTTCTTCAATTTTTTTAACTATATAAAAATCGAAGATATAAAAAATGGAAAGAATTTAAAACTTTGTTTCTACAAGATTTTATTGTCATCTATCTTATTTTACTCCTTTTTTTTTTTTTTTTTTCAATTTTTATTTCTGTAATTTTTTTTTTTTAACTATATAAAAATCGAAGATATAAAAAATGGAAAGAATTTAAAACTTTGTTTCTACAAGATTTTATTGTCATCTATCTTATTTTACTCCCTCTCTCATTTTATTTTATTAATTTTTTAAGTTTTTATTTTAGTTTATTAAATAATAATTTAAGTATTCATATATCTATTTCAATTATATTTTTTAATGTAAAATTGATTAAAATAATATTACTATTTATATTGTTGTGCATGATTTTCCCACGTCCGATTCACGCCAACTGTCTACGAACTATGCCAAGATTGGATGGATATGGTCACCCCATGTGTGACGTGTCACTCCAATGGATAACTTGGTCGATAAGTCCATCAATCCTAAGCATTATTGCTCTGACTTAAGTATGGGCAAAACTAACTCAGATTCGGATTACGAGGAGATTATGCGTGTAATCCACCTCGTAATTTACAACTCTCAACTACTTTCAGAACGCATGTATAAAAGGAGGGCGTCGCCTCCAATTTGGATAGAGATATATACATAGACACCCTTGTAAAAAAAAACCCTGGAAAAACACGCTTAAACAAAGAGCCCACTTAGCAAACCCTTGTAAGCTCGCTGTGACAGTTTCCTTCTTGTAATCAACTTGTGTGTAGGCCAGGTCCTAATAATAAAATGGTAGTGAAAGTATGCTTGGTTTTAACCTTTCGAATTACTTTAGAAATCTCTTTTGTCTTTCATTATTTAGCACAAAATTCATTACCTAATTAATTATCCGTAATCATGCGCACATCCTACTCAGTCCCGTCTTGGTTGACTGGTATCTCTGATTGTTACGGATTTTTTAACAACATATATAATTAAAATAAAGTTTGAAGAAATAAAAGCTTGAGGGTATAATAGCTCTTATATTGTTATATGATAAACGTAATTAATTTTTTAGGGTGCAATTGTTACTTTTTGAAACTCTTGAGAGCATTATAATTTCGTCAAACCTTGAGGAGGACAAGGGAAAGTCTTAAAAGGAAAAGGTCTTGATGAGATAAGATGACGAGGCAACTCAGTCAAAAATTTCAAAGTTTGTTAATCAAAAATCAATCTTTTTGTTAATATATTATCATTGTTAATTATGGAAGTATAATAAGGTGGCGAAATTTGTTCGTTTATGGATTAAATTATTGGGGTAAGTTTATCTTATTCTAAAAGTCTTTTTTTCATTATAAAGTTTTTTTTTTTTTTTTTAGTTTTTTAATATTGTTGTATTATTTAATGCTTTTATTCAAAATATTGTATCCTAATTATAACGTGATTAAGCTCTTTTTTCCCAACATAACCTACCTGGCCTTAGTCATGTCCACACAAAAGTAGCCTCCTTTTAATTATACGAGATAACGGCTTTTTTTTCCAGCTAAATAATAGTTTAATGATACTTTTTTATATATAAATTTTTAAAATATCAGTTTAGTATCAAGATTTATAGAGAGTAAATTTGGTCCAAACTGTTAAAATTTTTAAAGAGATGAGGTCGATAAATCTTTTGGTAGTAAAAATGTGGAATTTAGTGATAAGGATTGATCGGAACTTGACTTAGGAAAGGCAGTTGCATAAACCTTAATCGCTCAATTGTCGATAATTGATGGGGTCGACGGAAGTAAAGTTTGAGGAGTTTTGATGAGTGATGATTAGGAAAGAAAATGATAGTGGTATCAGGTCACAACAATGCCAGAATCATAAACGAAATATAAATTTAAGAATAATTTGTAAATTTTTAATTAATTTTTATCAGATTAATATGAAATTTGAACTTGGTTGAATTCAAAAAAAAAAATATGGATAAAAGAAAGATATTATTGGAGATTAATTTATGATAATCCGATTGTTTAAAGTAATGCAATATTCTTGGATGATATAAGACTTTTAGTAGTTACAATAAATACTAATTAAAACAATGAAATTTAATTTAAAATAAGAAGGTCAGAGTCAAAAAAGTCTGTGCCATGTGTTAGCTGGACGCCACCTTATATTTTAATCAAATAAATTTATGAGACTATATGTTGATGGGTTCACATGCTAAAATTTGACTTATTATAACGTAATAGGATTAAGTATTTTTAACATTTAATTATCTTATTATTAAATTTTGTTTAAGGATTAAGTATGTATCAATATAACCAACCGCTCCAAAACTATAGTTAAGTAGTTGAAACATAATAATATTTCTTTAAACTGTCAATCCTACAATTTGATTTGAACCCAATGTTATCGTCACTTATTTGATTACAAAATACATATATTTTTTTTTATATAACCGAGAGTGTCCAGATGTGTTTGTGTATACCTTAATTAATCTCTAAAACCTTAAAACCATCGATCAGATACGGGCTTCAATAATTACCCATATTAAAAGTTACAAGATCAAATACGAGCTCTAATAATCACTTCTATTAACAGTTGTGAAACTCAAATTTAAAAGATCACATAAACTTAGAGTCTCTTTTACTCTTTTACCAACAGACTATTGCAGTGGTTATAGAAAATTTTATTGCTGCTACGTAATGTATTTCTATTATATATGTATAATAATAATATTAATAATTTATCCTTGTTTAGATATTTATTTTAAAACTGAAATAATAGGAGTTATCACCAAAATCCCACTACGTGTCACAAAGTTAGGGAATTAGATGCACAAGTGGTGATTGGTGATTGGTACAACAAGTCAAACAACGAGCACCGTCCATTGGTCTCTTTCAATTTTTAAAGACCTTATCTGAAATATTTATTAACTTATAATACAATAATTTGTAACAGTTGAATCACGATTCACTAATAATATCTATTATTGTTTGGTTATTTTATAAACTTTAGAAGTATTTTTGTTATTTAATCAAACCTCAAGGGGTCTATGCTTTAATTATATTTTATATTATTTCTTTTATATGTAAATCTCATAGCTTAATAATAATATAGTAACTTAGTTATATGTAAATATTCATCTTTATAGGAGAATCACAAAATCTACATAATAAAATTTCTTCTTCATGGGAAAAGAATTCAAGTAAATAAAATTTGATTAATGTTTATATCTTAAAACTAGATCTATTTCAAAATTGGCGACTCTTCACAAACTAAATTAAATAAGAGTATATGACACTTTCTTATCTAAAAAGTTTCAAAATACCGCTTTCTTACCAAAAGTTTATATTTTATCAATACCAAAAATATACTTCACTTTCTAAGCTAGCATTCGACGATTATTAGGAGCCAAGGAAAGAAGGTTTTTGTAGAGTGGAGACTGGTGGATCGAATGGTGGTGATCGATTGAATATTCATTATCAGATTTAGTTGAAAATCAGCTAAAAATAGGAAACCCTAGTTTAACAGTGGCTGACAATCGACGAGAAATCAAATGTCGAATAAAAGAGGTTTTGTAGAAAGGAGACCAGAGGTTTAAATGATAGTGATAGAGAGAATTTTTGTCATTTAAATTGGTTTTCAGTAGTAACAGAATCTTTTGGTGAGAAAGTAGTATTTTGAAACTTTTTTCGGAGAGAGTATCATTAAGGCAAACCTTCGGTGGGAAAAAGTATTTTACTCATTAAATAAAGGGATTGAAAATGATTAGATTAGAATAAAATTAATTTGGTCAGTATACCAATAGGAAAAATATTTGGTCAAGAATCAAAAAAATAGAATATTCATGATTGGGGATTTTGAAATTTGGTAAGAAACCAAATCATAACAAAGAATTTTGGTTTGTTCTGTAAATCTAAACCACAATCAAAAGAACAAATTTATTCCTGTCCTTTCTCACTTATCATCATTCAACAAATAATATTGAAAAAAAGTCATGTGCCATATATCCACCATCTGGCATCCCTTGATTCCCTAGGTAATTAAAAAAAAAAGGCCAACAACATATTTTCACCCATAGTTTGTTGTAAAGACCAATTGGTACAAAAAATATTTAGAAATGATAAACAATCACTTTCCGTCAGGTTCTGTTAGAGATTTTTGTCAACAATACTAAAAAAGACTGAAATACCCTTAAAAGTTTGATATTATAATTTTTTATTAATATATGACAAGTGAACGCAGTTCATTACGTAAATACCCCTATCATTTACATTAAATTACTGGTATGCATTTTATTAACACATAACAACTTAATGGCATACTAGTAATTTAATGTAAATGATGTGGGTATTTACGTAATTGATTGAGTTGACTTGCTATAGATTAATAAAAAACTATGGGTGCGTTTGGTTTAGTATTTTGGATAGGGTTTAGGGATAGTATTAGGTTATTGGATAGGGGAGTATTACGAGGTAAATTTTAAAAATTTGTGAAAAAGCCCTTAGGTTTACTAATTTAACTAATGACCCTAACATATAAAATGACAAAAACACCCCCACCACCTGCAGTATCAGATTCCAGCCACCACCGTCGGAATCTGATCGAAAAATTTCGTTACGGCACAGATCCGGTCGGATCTGTGCCGTAACACGTCGTTATGGCCTTTTCTGGCCAGATCCATGGTGGATCTGGCCGAAAAAGGCCAGATCTACGGTCTGTAATAGCCGTCGAGGGTCAGAAAAGGCCAAACGAGGGCCATCTTTGGCGACGGCCAAAGATGTGGCCTTCGTTTTCGGTCAACGACGGC